AGCTGGTATTACAGGCAGCCACCACCATGTCCAGCTAATATTTGTATTTTTAGTAGACACAGGGTTTCATCATGTTACCCAGGCTGGGCTCAAACTCCTGACCTCAAGTGATTTACCCGCCTCGGTCTCCCAAAGTGCTGGGATTATAGGCGTGAACCACTAAGCAATGAAATTTTGTTGGAGGCATAAACCCCTCATTTCTTAATTCTTATCATTTCCTAGCTTATTCTCATCTATACTCACCTAAATAAACCTAAATGTATTTCAGCCCAATTTTTAAATTCTATGCCCATTTTTCATCCCAACTACTATTACTGCCTTAGTTCAGATCTCATCATCTCAGGTCTTGATTAAAATACCCTCCAGGCCAGGCACGATAGCTCACACCTGTAATTCCGGCAATTTGAGAAGTGGAGGGATCACCTGAGCCCAGGAGTTTGAGGCCAGCCTAAGCAACATGGTAAAACCCCGTCTGTACCAAAAAAGTAGATAAATAAATACAAAACCTAGCCAGACGTGGTGATGGAAGACTGCTTCAGCCTGGGAAGTACAGGTTGAAGTGAGCTGAGATCACCAATGCACTACAGCCTGGGCGACACAGCAAGACGCCATCTCAAAAAACAAACAAAAAATGATCTATAACCTGATTCAGAAAAATTCCTTCATCTCACATTTCACAGAACAATTTTATTCAAATTCTTCACACATATATAAGACATGTATGTCACCATCAAAACTTTGGCCATTTTTTGAATATTAAGAGTTTTCTAGATTACATAAGCATTTTATTGAATCGGTGATACAATCACTAAAAGTTTTATCCCAAGCCAAAATGGCTTGTCCTAAGTTACAATGGCAATAAATGGCCAAAGTACAAGTCTTTTAACACCTAGCATCTAGATCTCTACAACCTATCAGTCTGTCTTCCTCCTCTTTGTTGATATTAAAGGAGTGCTAACTAACTTCATTTGTGGAAATACACCTGAAGAAAGTATTAACAAATATGTATAATGATACAAAGACTCTAATTATAGTACAATTTATATAAGTTTACATAAAACTCGGAGTTTAGTTAGGTCAATCATGGTGTATCTACAGGATCCACTATCATAATGCAGCCCATCAAAATGTTATAGAAAAATGCTAAACGACATAGGAAGAGATTTACAAACCACTAAGTAAAAAGGCAGGTTATAAAACCATCTATAGCAGCCAGGCATGGTGGCTCACACCTGTAATCCAGCACAAAGGCAGGAAGATCACTTGAGGGTTCAAGACCAACCTGGGTAACAGAGAGACCATGTCTCTACAAAAAATAAAAAATAAAAATTAACCAGGTATAGTAGAGCGTACATGTAGTACTAGCTACTCAAGAGGCTGAGGCAGGAAGATGACCTGAGCCCAGAAGTTTGAGGCTGCAGTGAGTTATGATCACACCACTACAATCCAGCCTGGGCAACAGAGCAAGACTCTGTCTAAAATGTAAACAATAAAACATTAGGCCAGGCATGGTGGCCCATGCCTGTAATCCTAGCACTTTGGGAGGCCAAAGCAGGAGGATCACAAGGTCAGGAGATCAAGGCCATCCTGGCCAACATGGTGAAATCCCATCTTGAAAAAAACAAAACATTTTTAAAAATCCATAGAATACCATCACTCTTTTTTTTAAGGACGGACACACAGGAGACTGGGGTTAAATATTGTTAAATTTTAAAATAAAAAAGAAATAGAAAAAAAGGAATGAATGAAAAGACCAGAATAATTATATTCTAAAATACTAAGAGGCTCTAAGAATTAAAATGAAATCTGTAAACTTGTAAAATGAAAGTGTAGAGGTTTTGTAATAAAAAACTAACTTATTTTTTTTGGGGGGTGGCGGGGAGGGATGGAGTCTCGCTCTATCTTCCAGGCCGGAGTGTACTGATACGATCTCGGCTTACTGCAAACTCCACCTCCCAGGTTCAAGCGATTCTCCTGCCTCAGCCTCCCAAGTAGCTGAGATTATAGGCTCACGCCACATCTGGCTAATTTTTGTATTTTTAGTAGAGACAGGGTTTCACCATGTTGCCCAGGCTGGTCTCAAACTCCTGACGTCAGGTGTTCTGCTTACCTCAGCCTCCCAAAGTGCTGGGATTACAGGTGTGAGCCACAGCTCCCAGCCTAAAAATCTAATTTCTTACAATGAAAAAGCAGAATGATTCTAAGTAAGTAAACTAAAGTTGGACCCATAACTTCACAATACCATTTAATAAAATGAAAGTTGGTTAATATTTTTTTCAAAAAGAAAGCAGGAGCAGTGGTTCATGCCTGTAATCTCACACTTTGGGAACTGAGATAGGCAGACTACTTGAGCCCAGGAGTTCAAGACCAGGCTGGAAAACATAGCAAGATCCCATCTCTACCTTTTTTTAAGTACTTTAAATTATTAAAATCATTAAATTAGTTATTTTTTTAAAAAGAGAGAGAGACTTGGAAAAAATTCTAGTTTTGGAAGAATAACATAATATGACTAAGAAAAATATACAGATTATAATAAAAACAGATAAATATATTTTATTTTAAATCTCTACACAGGTAAAATAAAATACCCAAATTAAAAAAAAAAAAGTAGAAAAATTTGCAACAGTATAACAAAGGTGTTATGCAAAGTAATCAAATAATTAAATATACAAAGATATTGCTCAGATTCCACTCAGTAAACAGTTCAATAAGAAATGTCACAAACAAATCTTATGTTAAAAACACAAATGTTCCACTGATTAAAACTACATATGTTTTACCAATGATATACTTATTAAACTAGCAAAATAAATATTAATTATGCATGCCAATGAGGATAAACAATGTTGGTAAACAAGTAGGTAAGTATTGCAGGTAGCACCACATACTGGCTCCATATTTCTGGAAAGTAGACAACACATAACAAAAGCTACTGAGCTTTTTTGAATACGAAATCCTGCTTCTGTAATAAACCTCCAGAAGCTATTTCTCCCCACAAAATAAATATAACAAGTTGTGATCTGTATCAAGATATTCACAGCAGCATCTTTTACAATAGCCAATGATTACAATCACCAAAGTAATGTTGACACTATGTGTGTGGACACTATGTGCTATAATGGACTATTCCAGGGTTGTGGAGGGTTTGTTTTTCCATATTATTAAAACAAACTGTGTTAACATTTAGGTAAGGTTAAGTAGAAAGGCAGAATATGTAGCTACCCATCCATCAACACAGAAAAACACAGGTATTATTACAAAGAATGTCTGGATACAGAGAAACTGAGTACTTTGAACAGAGTTTCGTTAAGTATCTAATTTTAAAAATCAGAAGAATTTCAAAAATATATTTCTTTTTTTTTTTTTTTTTTGAAACGGAGTTTCGCTCTTGTTACCCAGGCT